GCTAAGACCACTGAGAAGAAAGCGAGCCGAGCACATCCTCACCACCACACCGCTACAGGAGAGAACTGTTTGCAAGCCCTGCGCTGCAAGCGCGGTCTGTGGATGGACTGGTTCAGAGCTGGAGATGGCGGGGCAAAGTAACATGGATGATGTGAAGCCTGGGGCACCTAGGAGGACTGTGGACCCTATGCAACTTTCGGGGTCTGCCAGGGATTACTGCTGCCACATGACTTCCTGGGAAGCAAGTGATCAGTGATCTGAGGTCTGTTTGGCACAGACAGATGGAGCTTGTCATGATTATTTGTCACAGTGATCATGCAAGAAGTGAACCAACATGCACCAATTCCTCAAGGTGGGTGTAATTATGATATAGCACAAACATATGCCACGGAAAACGGAATTCTAAAAGAGAAATGGGTAAGCTCTGGGATCTGTGAGTAGTAGGTCTACCCCGTGGCGTGAGCAAGCAGCTCGGGCTATAGGTGCAGCCCTTGGCGCCTTACGTGTGCTTTTGGCAATCACAGGTGGAGACCACAAAATGGGCTTTGTACAAAAACTAGAATGGAAAAACAAAAAAACGAGAATGCATGGTACTCTTAGAAGATGAGTGGATCAGGGCCAAGTGTGGTGGCACAGGTCTGTAATGCCAGCACTCAAGAGGCAGAGGCAGGAGGATCACCAGAGTTCCAGCCCAGCCTCGGCTACATAGTGAGTTCAAGTCCAGCCTGTATTACACAGTAAGACTCTGTCTCCGAAAACAAAAACAAAACAAAACAAAAAGATTATTGCATTGGGTGGTTGGTAATACTGAGATATGATAAGTAAAAAATTTAGTGATGTTTATACTTTGGACATAGATTATAGCTGTGTTTATTATTATTCTCTTTGATTTCCCCAGTTGAGGTAATGATTGAAGTGGGTTTAAGTGCAGCTTCAAAGAGGATGTAACATATAATTAGCTCTGTGGCCATAAATGTCACAGTAAGAAGTATCTGTAAAGAGATCGATAGTCTTGGCAGTCGTTCCCATTTATCTGGTGCTGTATCAATGACACTAGCTTCCTATCACTGTTGCCAGAGGAGTGGAGTTGGTGGGGTTAGAAAAGGGGCAGAGAAGAAGAATGTGAGTGAGCAGTTAGGTATTATTGTGGGCTGACTAGACAAGCAGGCTCGGCAGGCTGGTTAGGAGGCGGAGCGGAGTGGTGTTGACTCAGCTCACTGAGGTTTAGGAGTATGACGTAACTGGAATGAGCATAGTTGTTGGGAGAATTTTCAGCATTGGACGAAACTGATGTTTTCTGCACACAGTCTAAAGCATATGTGTCGGATACTACAACTAGTAGTGCTAAGCCCACAACAGCTTCACAAGCTGCAAAGAGCAACAGAACAATTGGTCCTATAAATGATAGGGTGTAGTGTACATTTAGAATTGTAACTGCCCCAGAATACATGTTGATAGCATTACACCTTCTAGGCATAGTAGGGAAGATATAAGGAGGGCTCTGTAAATTACTGTGCTTAGGAGAGATTCAATACCAGCTATGATGATCTTCAAGTAGACTGAGGGCATTTTGGTAATTAAGAGGAAGTCATAATTTAATACGTCAAAATCATTTGTTTTAGTTCAAACTAAGTAATGTATTGTACTTCTTTAGTTATTTTAGGGGCCATTCATAGGCTAGGCCTGGGGATGAAATAAAGGTTAGGAAAAGCTCTCCAGCTGTATTTGGGTCCGACTGCTTGTCTGGAACACTTGTGGGAGAGGAAGGAGGACCCCAATTTGTAGCTCGAACAGGGAGAAAGTAACAGTTCCCTGGAAGAACGTTACAGAGAACACAAGCTGGGCTCATTCTGTGGGGTCAGAGCCACATCCATGGGCCTGGGCTTTCCGTACTCAGCAATGGCGTGGGCTGGCAATGTAGCACACTGGGACAGCATGTGTATGGTGCTATAAGGCCCTGGGTTCAATCCCCAAGGCCACCAAGAGCACCGCCACCACCACAACCATCATCCCAAAACTCCTACACAGTGAAGACTCAGAGCACAATGGCAATGAACGGGGGAACCGACATGGTACCGGTCAATAGAGTAAAAAATATGCTGATTGCTCTCCTTCAGATTTTACTGAAACTGACCAGAAGTCAACTGAGCTCCTTACTACAAGGAATACATGTACAACTGACACAGAGGAATACATGTACTGTCATGAAGTGTCAGTATCAGGCAGCTGGCCGCTTCAGATCTACAGTGACAATTAGATGCACAATGGGAATTTCATGATGTGGAAGGTAGACTGTATGAAACACACAAGCAGCAATTCAATATAGTCCATAAGGAATGTTGAGCATGAATTCTGTTGGAAATGATTAGTGATGCTTCAGGATATTCTGAGACTTGGAGAAGTGTAAAATTCCAATTAGAGTTAAAAAGAAGGGCTTGAATGATGTGTTTTCTGTTCCCCTCTGTCCAGCTGTGGTGCCCAGGTCAGGGACACTCCTGAGGCTAAAGCAGTGATGTACTAAGCAGCAGACCTCCTGGGTTGAAGTTCAATGCCCACAAATGGTCAGCAGCATCCTAGCTTAGGCACAGGGACTGGCCCGAGTGATAGAAAGCTCAGAAAAGCCAGGCACGGTGGTGCACGCCTGTAATCCCAGCACTCAGGACCCCGAGGCAGGAAGATCGTTGCAAGCTTGAGACCAGCCTGGGCTACAAAGTGAGCTCAAGGCCAGCCTTAAACTACATAGCAAGACCCTGTTTCAAACAAATAAACAAACAAATCTCCGAAAGAGCCCCAAAGACACAACAAACGAGGGCATTCTGTATCAAAGGCCTTTTTGTACAACTAGTTCTTTCTTATACTAGTTTCATCACATTATTGACATATTGTTACTAAAGCTCTTAATGGCCCTAGAAGAACTAGATGGTTTGATGTAAAATGAAATGCTCTTACTTACACTGATGTAGGCATGAGAGCCCAAAACACTCCTACTAATGGCCTGGGGCTTGGGCTATGTGGCATGCACATGTCTGGTGGGTCACTGCGAGTTATCATGTAGGCACCAGCTAATTAATAAAATCAATACATGTGTTTGGATTAGGACAACAGCAGTTCTCCAACTATTAGAATCTGGATGATAAACGGAATTGGGCGGTGCTGCATGTTAAGACAGATGCAAGCCTTCCAATAGGGTGGACTGGGCATCTGGCAAGAATGCTGGCTGCGAGCCAAACAGCTGGAGCTGCATATGGGCTAAACCCGCTACCTCCTGCAGGAGTCACTAGTACTGGGATAAGTAAATCAGCATTCCTTGAGGTATGAACTGTGCTACCGAAGACTCAGCCTCCTATGACCTGGAACCAGGACTTCTGTTCATGGGGGGCTTCTCTACCTAACAACAGGGAACCCAATTATTGTAGGGTAATGAAAGAGTCACATTTTTGTTAATCTTATTTCTCAAGAAGCACTATGGGTTTTTTTTGGGGGGGAAGGGTGTACTGGGAATTGAACTCAGAACCTCATGTTTGCCAGGCAGGTAGTAAAACTGAGCTGCTAAATGTCCAGCCCCAGCTGCATGTTTTATTGTTTCAAAATTTTAGGTTGGTGGACTTAGGGAATAAGGGTGTATTGAAATTTTAATTGAAAAGACAGTCTTTTTGGGGTACTGGGAATCCAACTCAGGACCTTGCACTTACCAGGTAGGTACTTGGGCAACTGAGCTATATCCTTCACCCTGAAATTTTTTTTCTGTATTTTTAGGACAGGGTCTACAGGGACACAGGGCCTCACTACACAGATCAGACTCGTAGTGGTCATCCTGTTTTCCAAGTGCTGGGATTACAGGCGTGTACCACCATGCCCACTCTTCATCCTAAAATTTTACTTGAAAAAGTAAAAAGTAGAGCAGTTTTAAATAGACTTTAACTACAACAATATATTACAGCTCAAAAGAGAAGTAAATATGAGAATCCAGCTGTCTCCTACCAAGCCAAATACTATAGGAATGAGCAAAAATGGAAACTAATGCTACTCTTCTCACTAAATTCTGTTTTTATTTTACATGCATAATCATTTCTCATGAAAATATGCTATTTCTGTTAGACTGCATGGGTTTAACGTTACTCATTTTAGATTGCAGTCTTGAGTATTAAGATGATAAATATTGATAGGCATGAGCCACATAAACTAAAGCTCTTGGCATCTTCAATAATTTAGGGAGTCCTAGTGGTACTGAATCCAGGTCTGGGAGCACATCCCATGGAAAAGCAATGTCTAAGAGATGGGTGGTGCTGGGGACAGGGGAAGGCTTTATTTGGTGGCCAAAAATTGCAGGAGAGAGAGCCGTGCTCAAGAATGGGCTTCTCCAGGGAGTTATGGGTTACAGATGCAGGAGAGGGAGGATTAGGGAGGGAGACAAGTTGCTGTCTTTTCTGGGACCAGCAGAAGGTGTCTCTTAGCTCACATCACAGCTGGTGTCTTTGGTCATGGCAGCTGGCGGGTGTCTTTAGGCTGAACAGGGGAGGAGAGAGATCATGTGAGTCTAGGTCAAGTTAGCCCTATATTATAATTCTCAACAAGATACTGCCAGCAGATCAACATGCCCACATGTGGAGCTTCAAGGGTGCGACACAAAGGCTAAGGCAGCAAAGGAGACAGACGCAATACGTAGGCCAAGGGGCCATACCTCCAGTCCTTCCCACCCCATTACTGATGGGACATTTGCAGGCTCACGTGAACAGTCAGTGTCTACAGCCAAGGCAGAGATGTCATCTACAGCCAAGCTACTGAGAGCCTAGATGTGGGACTTCCAAAATCAGTGAGATTTAAGTCAACAAATAGCAAGTGAAAAAAAAAATTGCAAGTGAAACTAGAAAATCCTTATTTGGGATTTCTCCCTAGCAATAGTAAGGCCAAAAACTGCGAGCAGCACTGTTTTTGGGGTTCTCTGCCAGGCCACAGAGTGGAGTGTGGGGTTGCTATGATTCCAAGCGGCCAAGACTCACCTCCTCCTCCTCCACTGGGCTTCTTTTGTCTGTCATCTGGGTCATTTCGGTCATCCAAGGCATCATACAAGCTAAAGTCATCTTCCAGGGCCAGAAACAAAAGAAATAGTCAACGGGTTCAATTCTAAGTAGTTAATTTGGACACCACCGCAGATGGCACATCACAAGACCACCTCTCCTGTTCCACACAGCGGCTGCCTACCTGCAGGCTTCATGGGGGCCTTGGTGGTTCCTGGCCTCCTGGTTGTGGTGGTGGTGAGGTGGTCCCATCGCTCTGAAGGGTGAGAGAAGACAGCAGGGTCATGAGCTTAGTAAAGAGATAGACAGCCACTTCATAGCTGGGAGGTCGCCACACGAATGGGGCACTCCAGTCTCAGTCCCTGAGGCTCCCATATGTGACCTCCGAAGATTCACATTAGGATGGAGACCACAGAGATGGAAAAGGCTTAGAAAGTCCAAGGTCTGCTAACTTTTCATGAGGGGATGAGCACAGAAGGAAAACAATGTTTCCACATGTGGTCGCGTGCAGGAGGAGCTGGCTTGAGCCCCCACCTGGCAGCAATGACTGCATGGCCCAGGGAGGGCTGGGGGCCAGCACAATCCCTGACACTCCAAGCTGAGCCTCCTACGCTGTCAGCCCGGCCCATCGGCCACACACAGCTCTGCCTGGGGACACACTGGAGCTACGCTCCCTGCAGAGTATGGAGAGCTCTTAGGGGCACACAGTTTATGTAGATGTGGTTACTACTGTACCATCAGAGCTCTGGATATAAAACCAGATTCCTTTAAAACTATGGACTTCACTCACGTCAGTGACCCAGCATGACACTTCCCACATTTGCCAGCGGTTGCTCTTGAACGTCTGGAGGCTCTGCCATGGTCGATGCCACTGCTGAAAGCAGCAGAGGGGCCAGCCACTCACAGCGCTGCACACCGCACGCGCCCAGTGAGACAGGCAAGTCTGCGCAGCAAAAGCCTCAATAGGCTTTCCATTATTAATAATGGGACCCCCTAAACAGCCCATGGCAACTGCAAATGCATTGCCTGTATTCTTGGGATATAATGTCCATGTTCTTTGTAAATCGGAAAACACAGGCCAAAATCTTAGGCCAGGGAAATGTTGGAAAAATTCCGGCAGTCATGACTCAAGTGATCTCACTATGAGGGAGATGCAGTATCCATCACCAACGAGGGAGACTACACAGTGACAGAAGGGTGGAGCCTCCAGGAAGATGTACCTATCCTGAATGCATATGCACCTCCCAGTGCGTGGCATGGAGAAAAAGCTGATAGTGCCAAAAAGAGAAACGAGTCCCGCAGTGGACCCTGGGGACTGTAACACTCCACTCTGCACAGCTGGCAGAACTGCTAGACTGAAACTGCACAGACTCGGGAATACGCAACAATGCACTCAACCAAGGGGATTTAACTGGAAGAACAGGTTCTTCTGCCCAACCCCAGCAGCTTAGCCAGCTTCCGAAGCACCCATAAAATAGCCCCCAATGGATGCCATAGGAAACAAACCTCAACCAGTTTACTGGTACTGAAAGTATAGTGTGGCCTCTGACTGCGTGATTTCAAGCTAGATACACAGAAAATACAGAGAAAAGATGATCTCTAAACATTTGGAAATTAGATAATACACTCCTGAATAAAAGTTATAGTCTCAAAGGAGATTTTTGAAAATATATAGAACTAAGTGAAAATGAAACTACAGTGTACTGAAATCTGTGCGATGCAGTGAACGCAATGCTCAGAGGGAAGGTTAAGTATTAAAGGCTTAGAAATGAAGATTTCAAATCAACCATACAAGTTCCTAACTCAATAGACTACAAAACCAAGCCGAAGCAAGCAGATGTTAGTAATAAGCACAAGACCAGAAATCAGCGCAAGTAAAAATAGGAGAGCAATACAGGAAGGAACGAAACCAAAAGCATGTTCTTTGAAAAAGTAAATATAAGTTTGCTTAACCTCTAGCCTTACCAAGAGACACAACAGGAGAGGTTACAGTACACTGATATGAGGGAAATCAGATACGATCCCAGCTCTGCAGCCCCCGAGCAGCATGATGGGACACTAGGAACCAGTGTATGCTCATGTACTTGACAAGGTGGAAGAAACAGTATCTCAAAATGCCATGTAGCTATCACATGTTCATAGATTAGAAGGCAATGTTGTTAATGTGACTCTATAACCCAAGGTGATCTGCAGATTCAATTCAATCTAATAGAATACCAATGTCATTTCTTGTGGAAATTGACATATCTATCCTAAAATTCAGAGAACCTCGGGAAACCCCGAGTAGTCAAACACAGTCTTGCAAAACAATGCAAATGGAGGACTAACACTTCTCATCTCAAAACTCACTACAAAGCTTTCATCATCAAAACAGCATGGCCCTGGTATAAGAACAAACATGAACCAACAGAATAGAATCAAGAAGCCCCAAGGAAACCCTTGCTTATATGGTTAAAATATTTTCAACAAGGGTGCCAAGAGCATTCAATATAGAAAGGACAGTCTTCAACAAATGGTGGTGGGAAAAGGACAGCAAATGCAAAACATAAAGCTGGGCCATTATCTTGTACTATATACAAAAATAATCACAAGTAAATCAAAGACCCAAATATAAGCTCCAAACCTAAAAAAATTCTTGTAAGAAACTATTGGGGGAAGTCTTCATGCACAGAGGGGATCTGCACATGTCACCCCCTACAGTGCTGTTGGCCGTGTGCCAATGGGAGCACAACCAAGACCTAGCCCCAGGCTAGAGCTCCTTCCTCTACCAGAGCTGTTCAAATGCTCACACAGCCAAGTGAAGAAATACTCAAGCAATTACAGGAGGGAGTCCTAAGAGGCACTGTGTTCCGAGGTCCTTACCTACACGGTGCAAAATAAGCACCTATCCAGTGTTCCTTTTACCCAAAAAAGGCATCCGATGAACCTCACAAAGCCCAACCAATTACACCTTCCCTGGCTTTACAAGGGGAAAGGGTTCCACAGGAGAAGGAGTCCAAATGTATTCTTCTCTTAGAAGTGTCCAGGCAGACTTTTCATTAAAACCCCATCAGGCACAATGATTGGCCAGCAATACTCTACCAAGTTAAACCTGGTGTTCTGGGCAAAGCTCTAGCTGGCTTTGTATATGGGGCTCATATGGCCACTGCCCAGGGTCATGATGTTACCCGCAGGAACTGCTGAAGCTCTGGTTGTTTCTGACTTCCTGCTGGAAGTGAAGTGGTGCCATCTCCCTAGTGCAGGAGGAGGACAGCAGCTCCCATCTGACTTGCACAAGTGTTGACATGAGTAGGATATCTCTGTCTAGTCTTGGAGCCCCGCTAGGCTGGCCCTGCAGTAAACCCACTAAGGAGAATCATGTGGATGAGGAGCCCTTGGAGCTCCTGACCTTGTCTACCCACAGTCGACCTGGCACTTTAGCCACAGGCGACGCTGCTGAGGCCAGGCTGGGAGTAGTTCAGAAACAGAAAGAGTCTGGACACAGTAGTTGATGTCACCATTATAAACATGACCTGAAGCACAGCTGTATTTCTGTACAACTGTGGGCATCGATCCCAAGAGTTACATGATACGCACGAGATTACCCATCATTTCTTTTGCAGACATCGAGACTATGTTGTATGCATTTCTACTGTACAAGGAGGTAGAAGAAAAGATTTTAGGAATGACAAAGGCACAGAAAAAGACTTCGCTTAGTATGCAAGCAGCACTCAGTAATTACTGACTTCTCAGTAACCAAGCAGCCCAAGTTGAAACCATCTAAAAGTAAAGGGTGGACAAGGTGCACAGCGTGAAGGACAGCTAGAAAGCCACAGTAGCTGTACTACTATCACAGGACATTGGCATCCACATCAAAATCGGGACTACAGCCAGAGCGGTGGGATGACTGAAAGATCAACCCAACAGAGCTATGGCAGCTTAAACATGAATGGGTCCAAAAGACACAGAGCAAATATACCAAAATGGGGGGAGGAATAGAAAGCCCTAGGAAAACAGCTGCTGCCTTCCATACCCTCTTTCTCTACAGAGAAGGAACCTCAGGAGGAACAAAAGGAAGATAAGGCTTGACCAACTCCATGAGCCAGCAAGCCTCACAGTCACCTGTGCATTTTGCCAAGCAGTAACAGAATACACCTTCTAGGCCACACCCAGGTGACAGACAAGTCACAATGGATGCAACATATTCCAACCATGTGAATTATACTCTTCAACCACAAAAGAATAAAAACAAATCAGCAACAGAAGGGCATTTAGAGAATTCACAAGTATATGGAAATTAAAGGATGTACTCCTGAATAACAAATAGTCAAAGAAGAAATCACAAGAGAAATTATACTTTGAGATTAACAAAACTAAGAATAAAACATACTAAAATTTATGTGCTGTAGTGCAAGCAGTCCTCCGAGGGAAATTTGTATTTCTAAGTATCAACATTAAAAAATAAGATGGGCCGAGCGTGGTGGCACACTCCTATAATCCCAGCACTCAGGAGGCTGAGGCAGGAGCATCGCTGTGAGTTCAAGGCCAGCCTGGGCTACAAAGTGAGCTCAAGGCCAGCCTGAGCTGCATAGAGAAACCCTGTCTCAAAAAGACCGGTTATCATCATCATCATCATCATCATCATCATCATCATCATCATCATCACTGAGACGGGGGCTCAGAGAGAGGTGCAGCAGTTGCCCAGCATGCTCTTAAATAAATAAAAATAGTTTTAAAAGGCTGCGAATGTAGCTCAGTGGTAGAGTGCTTGCCTCATGTCCATTCCCAACATTAAAAAGTAAGTACACAAAAATTGAAAAGGAAAAGAAAGATCTCACATCAATAATCTAAACTTTAATATTGAGGAACAAAAGCCAGGCCTGCTGGTCTATGCTTATAGTCCCATCTACCCAGGAGCCTAATGCGGGAAGATCACTTGAGCTCAGGAATTCAAAGTCCACTTAGGAAAACTAAAGGAGGGGGAAATCCTATTAAAAGAAGAATAAGTGTTAAACAGAGAAAAAATGCTAAAGACTGTCCCAGAAGTATATGAAATAGAAGTTAAAAGTGACAAGTAACATCAACATAACTGAAAAAATCATTTCTTTTAAAGGATCAATGATGGATAAACTGCTAGCAGAAGAAGGCAAAAAAGAGAAGACCTGGATTATTAAATTTAGGAATGAAAGAACAGACATTGCTACCAATTTTACATAAATAAAAAAGAATATCTTAGTAATTATAAAGCAATCGTTAAGTAACCTGGATGAAACGGATAACTTTTTTGTGTTTCTGAAATAGTGTCTCTCTGTGCAGTCCAGTCTGGCCTTGAATCAACTATGTATCCCAGACCGATCTCCCTTTTTTGTCCCAGGAATGCAAGTCAGAACCTTGTGCTTTCCAGGCAGGTGCTTGGCCTGAAATGCATAACTTGTTATGAACATGCAAACTAATAAAGCTCACTCATGAAGAAATAGAAAACCTGACTATAAAAAACTTTAAAGTTTTTCAACCAAAATACTCCACTGGTGAATTCTACCAAATGTTTAATGTACAATAAATACCAATTATTTGCAAACTCTTTCAAAAAATATAAGAACATTTCCAGGCTAGAAATTAATGCACTACATGCAGACTGTAGTTAATAAAATGGTATTATATTGGGCAGTTTTGCTAAACATGTAGATTTTGGCTATTCTTGCCACAAAAAGGAATATGTGAGGTATTGTTCTCTAGCTTTACTATGGTGAATATCTTATCCCCTATAGGTATATCATAACATCATATTTTAATGTACCTTAAATGTATAAGGAAATTTAAAAATTAAATAAAATCGTTAATTTTCTATTATATGTATTTTACCTCAATGATCTTTTTTGTTTTTTGCAATAGGGTCTTGCTATATAATTCAGGCTGGAGGGAACTCATGGAGATCCCCCTGCCTCATCCTCCCAAGTGCTGGGATGACAGGCATGCAGCATGAGGCCCAGCCTCAATAAATGCTTTTAAAAGAAGGAGCCTGATAAAAGATACCACGCTGGAGTTGGATGCACACAGTCTTGCAGTTCTATAGGAGGGAGTAACACAGAAAGGCCACCCCTTAGAGGAATCCTGTGGGCATGTGCACTTAGCGGGCTGCCAGTACCTTTGTGCATGTGGTCATATGAAGACCACACCAGCTAAAGGGTTTTTATGGCAAGAGGACCCAATATGACATGAACGTTGTATATATGAGGGGACAAAGACCATACGGAGGCTTCTAACCCCACTCATCAGTACATCTGACTCTGCCCTGGCAGAGGCTGTTTAGTATATCCATCGCTGTTACAGTGACATAGGTGGCAGACAGGACGCATGACATGACCAAGAGTTCTCTAGCAACTCTCAGCACAGCAACTGCCTCTATATAAATAATTATCTTCAATTCTGGGTGACTCAAACAGCTCTTGTGTAAAGTTATCTGTTTGTCCTTAGGCTATGTGTGCAGAATCAAAAAGTGGCACTCACAGCAGGGAGATGGTGCTGGGGGGGCACAACACATCCCCCCAACTCCCAGTCCCCTACCCTTTTGTGAAACATCTATCTCCCACTGGGTATAGTGGCACACACCTGCCATCCCAAGCACTCAGGAGGATGAGGCAGGAGGATCTCTTCAAGTTTGAAGTCAGCCTGGGCTGCATAATGAGTTCAAGGCCAGCCTGGGCTACACAGTGAGACCTTGTCTCAACAACAACAACAAAAAAAAAACCCTAATATATATCGTGCTATCTAGCTTTAAGTTTGTTTTTGTTTATATATACTTTGGTTTCCTCACATAAGAGAAATCTTGTGATAGTAAGCTTCTATAAAAAATTCACTTACTCATCTAAAAAAATTAACAAGTCACAACACATATAAAGATTTACATTAGCCTCTCTCAGTTCTGTTCCACGGATTCCAGCCCTGTTCACTCAGTCCTGCCGCTCTGTGTGCCTGCCCTGCCTGGCAAGGCTTCTGCATAGGTCTGGTTTCTCCAAAGGTCTATGTGGGTCGGCACCTCAACAGACTGTGGTCCATACGGGGACCTGGTATCAATTGCTCTCCGAGGTGCAGCCTGCTCTCTGCACAGCATCAGCCTTTTAAAGAAACTACACCCTGCATAGTAGTATCCACCTGTTGGGAGCTGTGGAAGCTAGAAAATTGGTCAAATGTGTGTAGGCAGGACTAGGCCTCGGTGCCTAAAGCAGACAAGCTACCTCAGTCCTGAGATAAGCATCCTGTCTGGCTAAGGTGTGCTTTTAGTTGCTAGGCAACTTTGTGTCATGTGTTACTAACTTTGCAAAAGTATAAATAAACATTGGTTTTGTTGTGTTGTGGGGGTTTGTGTAGCCTCCCAGGCAGACCAGCGACCACCCAGCCCAACTTTTGTCTTCTCGTCTATCTTTTTTTCATTCCTGCTGCCATTTCTCACAGGGTACAACCTATCTGACTGAGGCCAGCTTGGGCTACATAGTGAAACTCTGTCTCAAACAAAAAAGCAAGAAAGAAGCTTAACTAAGTGATTCAGCACAAGATCAGAGCCCTCACTTTGTAAGCCTCCTGAGCCTATGTCAGGGGAGGCAAGGAGGTGTGGACTGCCAATGTATAATATAAGGGAAGAAAAGAGGGCCCCCCTGTTGTTTTCTTGTCTTCTCTGCCTTGAGCTGCTGGCCCTGTACCATGCTCCCGTGCCCTGGAGCCAGTTGATTGCAGACTGAAACCTCCAAAAACTGGGAGCTAAACAGAACTTTCCTTCCTCAGTGATGGGCACTGGCTATTTTATCTCAGTGAGCGAAAAGTAACCAAGACATTTATGCGGGGATGGTGGTGCGCACCTGCCATCTGAACACTCCAGAGACTGAGGCAAGAAAATCACCTTCAGTTCGAGGCCACCCTGAGCTACATAGTGAACTGAACACCAACCTGAACTGCACAGTGAAGCCTCGTCACCGTACGTGAGCACATGAGAGGCACAGGCTAAGAAGCCAAGAGCAGCCTGCGTCATGTGCTGAGTCTGCGGCCACCTAGAGGTGACGCTTGAGAGCCACCAAAGTTAAAGAAACATGTCTCCTGGGCCATCACTGGTCTGTGAATTACAGCAACCCTCGCCCAGCAAAGGATTTTGAAGTCCAGTGGGAGCATCTCCTTGCACTGAGCCTGATCAGTCAGCCTCCCCAACACTGGACCACAAGGCCCGACCCCTACAGCTTCGAGGAGGAGAGGGTTTTCCCCTTGACTCCTGCACTCAGACTGCTGGGTCCTTGGCCGCACAGATCCAGGGCAGACGCATCACCGCGGAAGGCTGCTGGGAGGGCTGTGGCACTGTTGCCACCCGACTGAGAGCCACCGGCTCCAGAGCTCCGAGAGCATAAGGTCCTGCTCCCTCGTGTCAGACACTATATGGTTTCCCTGTTACAGCTAGAACACTCTGTTACACACACACAGACTCTCCTGGCTTCCACACACTGCAGGAAGCAAGCAAGCTGTGCACTCACACCCAGATGACTGTGTGGGCCCCGCCCCACAAGTCTCAGGATGTGGCTGCAAGAGCACAGAGCTCTCACGGGGACCACCATGCCACACCCTCACCTGCAGGGGCCTCCTGGGCAGAGGACTGCGTATTCAGGCCTGCTTGGAGCAATCTCACGCCTGATGACCGCTTTACCCAAGCAAGTGAAGTGCACGCTGCCCCCTGGCCCCCTTGTAGCGTGCCCTGAGTGAGCAATCTGGATTAACTGCTACTGCTGGCTGCACCGGTGTGATTTATTACTCATGCTTTACTGAGGAGGTTTCTGGCACTGCATCCTCCAGTCTGAAATCATCACTTGCGTCCCCAGATCCTAAAAATAAAGAAAATTTTAAAATTTAATCATCTTTTCAAAAAACAAAAGAATGCTCTCCTCACATGGTCATGTCTCCTTAGAAAATAAACATGAAAAGATGGAAGGGACGTTCCCTGCAAAGGGAAACTGTCAGGGCGAGAATCGCTGTGCTCATATTGGACAAAAATGCACTTAAGTCAAATATTGTAAAAGGACACCAAATGCTGACATGATGATAAGCGTGACTCATCATGAAGTTAGAACCGTAGTCCACAGGCAGCCAATGTCACAGCACTGACGTACACAGGCAGACATTTGTAGACATGAGGAGAGACCATCACACAGTAGGAAGCAATCCCAGCAGTCGCTTTCAACACAAGACACACACCTAGGCAGCAGATCAATAAGGAACACCATGCTTCTGCGAGTGTAAGGGCCACATGCAGAACACTGGCCAACAGCCCCAGAAACAAAGCCCAACAAATGTAAGAAGATTAAACTCCTATCAAGTAGCTTTGCAACATGGGAAGAGTCCTGGAGAGCTCACAAATGTGTGGGACTCAAACATGTTCTTGAACAACCAACCAGCAGGTCAGAGAAGGGAAATGAAAAGGGGAAACTTAAAAGGGAAATTGAAAAAAAAAAACAAACCCTGAAATAAACCAAAAACATAAACGCAACACACCAACAATAGTGAGATGCTCCAAAAGCAGTCCAAATAGGAACACTGACAGCTAGAAACTCCTACATCAAAACAGGACTGAGCTCTCAAGCAAAACTAATGTTCCACTTCAAAGAATAAGGAAACTTAGCAGAAGGAAGGAAACAAGAACCAGAGCAGAGTGGGACTGTCCTGCTTCAAGGTTGTATATGGTTAGATTTTTGGACTTATGTGTAAACCTAAGAAGTATATAATTCTTTATGCCTATTTTTAAAAATATATTCTAATTTTTAAATGTTTTTTCATCATATTCTGTAGAGACTTAAAGTTCAACATATCAATACTTGAT